TTTTTATTGAGAAATGGATGAAGAAAGGTAAGTTCAAAGTCTAGACCTCCCTTCACTCTGTCTGGGTTGACGAGAGTGATCCAGGACATGCTAATGCAGGCTCCTAGACAAAACTGATCATAAGCTATCTGAGCAGGGTTCTCAGTCTTGAGAGGCAAAACTCATCCATATGCAACACCACAGAAGAGCCTTCCTTAGGCAAACCAAAATGTTTACGTTCTCTATCTTTGGCAGCTGATTCCTGTTATAGCAGTTTGTCTATCACACGCAAGTGTGAAGCGGCAGGCGAGAAGGCTGAGACTGCTAATGGACTGATGCTTGTTCCCTTCCTGACAGGATTTTTAGGAGGCGTGGCAAAAATATATGGATACCAAGGGAAGTTTTGCGGGTGAGAGAGTCATGGCAAGCTACTTCTGTTTAGCTTTAGGCTCCAGGCAAAGGAGGCAGTTTGAAAAAGGAGAGTGGGAAAGAGAGCTGGTAATCCACAGCTGAAATGATGGCAATTTTTCAAAAGATAGCTATGATGGCTTGCTCACTTTTTTATGCCCATGACACACAGGAGAAAAAAATATTGTCTCAGAAGACCAGAGTAAAAAAGAAAAAGTTTGATAAGGGAAGTGCTATTTTTCACTGGGGGCAGAAAACACTGAACAGGAAGGTGTGACTGGGTAAGAGCTCTCCAGGGCATATAATTCAAGAAATGTTTCAGGTGAAATTCCATCTGCCCATCTCTGCCTCTTACCCCTTTCCCCTCTTCCAGCTCTCAAACTGACTTTACAGAATGAAACATGAAAGGATTATAAAATTACTCTGCAATTATCTACTGAACATACAAAGAACATTTCACAGGTCTCTTCTCCCTATCAGAACAAAGAGGAAAACTTAAAATAATATTAGCACAAAAGGTCGCTCACAGCAGAGATGGTGATTTTTTTTCAAATCTGCAAATGGAAGGGTACATATGACTTTGCACTTTGATCTGATTTGTAAAAAATCCACTTTTTTGTGTGGATGATTGTTGTTTCAGATCAATGTTGTTCCCTTACAGCTGCTCCATCTCCTCTCTGGCATTCAAAACAGGCTGGAACCTCGTAGAGTCATATGCAAGCTTTTGTTAAAAGAGATGGCAAGGATGCAAACTGAAACCGAGTCATTGCTGTCAAACAGTGCTTCAGAGATTGGAAGGACTTGGGGATGTATAAACACATGACATTCATATATGCTGAAGACTACAGATATTCACTATTAATAAATAAGGTAATGGTGATTCTCTCTCTGCAGAATTAGCTCAGCATTGAGCATATATGTAACCCCATTTTTGTGACATCACAACCCCCCTTTAATATCTAGGGCTAATTGCTTCTTTTCCTGGTAGCTTCACAAAGAAGCAGAAGATCGACAGCTTGCTGCATTAATGTCAACTCTGCTGCTTCCATCCTGCACCACTGACTTAGCAGAGGTCCTTCGTGTCTACCCTTGCACTTTCTCACCTTTCAAAATCACCAGCCTGTCCTCTGTCCACACTTCATTAATAGCAAAAACTATAATGCTGGAGAATTATCCATTCTAACTAGACAAGTATATATGAAGAAGCTGTTTGGCATAAAGGCCATCTTTATGTCCTGGGCCTGTCAAGTACTCATCATAGTTTAACCCCTGTTCATAACCGGGGCTTTTTGGTGCTGCAGTGCAAATAAACACATAACATAAAATGACAGACATGCTACTGCAGAGGACAGGCAGCATGCGTGAAGGGAATACAGGTATCCTCCCAAGTAATTTCAAGAACAAATTACTACCAATAGTAGTCTACAAGACAGCTTTACTGAAGGAAATAATTTTCATGGGAAGTATTTGGTGCCGCTCAGAGGAGGAAATTTAATGTAGTTTTAGCACTCGAAGACAAGAGGTTTATGGAGATTTCAAAACTGTAGTAGTTTTATCCCTAGATAAAGAAATACCTAATGAAAAATCTGAAGAAAAACCAAAGCTTTTGAGTGACTATTGGTGTTTGGAGCCTGCAAGTCCCTCTTCTTTAATTGTTTTAATTACCATTTAGAGCAAAACAACTAAACCAGTAATTAAACTGTCAATTAAACCAATGATACATATAGTATACAAAGCAAGTTTATTCCAGTTATAATACTCTAAAAGAGTGATACCCTTCAACAATCACAAAGAAACATTTAAATGAAAAAGCAATAGCAATTCAACTTCCATAATTATTTCACTCCCACCTTATCACTTCTTAACATCTGAGTGTTCTATATCATATATACTAGGACAGGAGGCTGTCAAAACCGCTGCCATCTCTGAGACTGCAATCATGGTATGGTTTTATTTGTGTGTCTCACTTTAATGAAATGCCTTCATTTGATCTTGAATGCTGCAATGAAGGTTTTACTCAAGGATGAACCTGAGACTGTGGCTGTTTCCTATTGGTGCAATTGACCCCATGTATGTATTTCAAGCATGTTTGTGTTTAGTGGCACTATCTTGTTAGCTCTGGTAACAGAGAGTGTAACAGTGAGAAATGGATTTCAATAATAGAAGCAGGTAAGAACTGCTTTCCTCCCAAATGCTACACAGATGAAAGACATCATTTTTTTCCTGCTTTCATTTTTTAGTGGTAGTGTTAAATGTCATGCATTTCACTACACGCCTTTCACATCCCAAATATCTTGGACTTAGTTCAGAGTTTTGAATATCATGTAAATTATGTAAATCTTGAGGCTTAAATGTAAGCTTGGTATCCTCTGAAGACACTGTCTACTTACGAAGTCTTTCTTGCCAATCTCACATGTTCCAAATAAACTGCTCCAAACCTCGTCACAATATTTTCTCTAGAATCAGTTAGTCAGATTGTCCTTTTCAGACTACCAAATGCTAATGTCCAGCACATAACAATTGCCTGTCAGAAAGACAAATAGAACTGGTTGGGTGCCTGGTTATAAGTAATTAATTATGGATGGGATATCATCCATAAAGGAATAGGACATTCTGTCTTTTCTCTTTTAATATACTAGCTGAAATACAACCTCAGTCATTAATTGGTGTTCACTAGTAGTAGGTATTTCAGATAGAAAAGTCACCCAATTTTCCCTTCTTTCAAAATTCCTGTAAATGTTTTCTGGGAGTCTTCTGAAACTGTGTTCTCCTAACTCTGCTAGATAGCATTTGGAGACTGATGAGTGAATCCACATGAATGTGCAGGTCACAGAAATGACCAAACTGGAGGACACTATTTCATTTCTAAACCATTAATGGAAGTATTGGATTTATCTTTGATTTGAATAAACCTATCTAATTTTAGACATGTGTACAGGTGTGAAGATGAGATTATAGTGTCAGTTTGATGAAGCTTACTCTCTGCTGTATGTATTTTCTTTGTAATCATAAAGAAGCAGCAAACATTTTTCTCCCCCATAACTGCTATAAGATGTCTACGAAAGAATTTCATTCCATAAAGAAGCCAATTATATATATATCACACGTCTTATAGCTTTGGAAAGAATAGTGCTGTTGCTTGTTAAATTCTAAAAGTCATTAAACTGCACATTATTTTAATTAAACAAAGTAATCTAACAGGCACTGCAGATGTGACTGGTATGCATTTGAAAACTTTATAGTTCTTCATTCTACATACTCACGCCAGAAATGATGAGAATCTGGTGAATAGCACAATCCAGATGATACAGATCAATAAAGAAGCTTTTTATGAACAGCCATTGCAGCAAACAGGCACAATGGAGGCATAAGACTATAAAATAAATTTTTCTTTGAGAGTACAGTTGAGTTTAAAAAAGTGAAACAGGCAAGAGCCATTTTTACTAAGAAATTTTGAAAATCAGAAGTGCAAATAAAGGTTTTGGTTTTAACCAAAGGACAGAAGCAACATCAGAGTGTTTGCTGAATGTTTTACCAACCCAGCTGTGTTAATACCTCCAGTCTTTTCTGAACATTGCCACACATATTCAAGACTGTATAAATGGCTAATTCACTCCTAAAATAGGGAAATCTTTGAAATGAAATCTGGCGAATATTTGAGACTATTTGGTAGCATAGTCCAAAAAAGTCGTATGGGAAGAAGAGCTGTTCCAGTACTACACATCTGCCCATCCCATAACTGGTGCCAGTTATTGACAGCTTTTAAAAAATCAAGGTCATACACTTGAACTTGACTTGTGGGCTTATTCAATCATCAGCCAATGAAAAACAGAAGAATTAAGCAAAACTAGAGAATGTGTTTTTTCTGACTTCTGCTGATGAGCAAGTGAGCTACGTTACTCTATGTTACCCACTGCCTACACGGTGCACAGTCATACGCTATTACCTCTCTACTGAAGGTAGAAAAGTTTCACAAAGTTTCATCTTACAGATACTCAGTATACCTGGTGGATAAAGGCTAGAGAAAGCTGTTGAGAAAGACAGCATTTAAGGATTTTTTGAGCTTGAATCTCACTCTTTACACTTATCATTCAAATTTATTCAATGCTTCCTCAGGAATTTTACAAGAATGTAATTATTAGAACTGAAGGGAAAAGCGAAATCCTCTTTCATGGGTGACTGCAATATTTTGAGATCTGATTTAACTTGTACATCAAAGCTCCAAGGCAGTCTCTTATATCAGCTTTTCTAGACTCGCTTTTCAATTCCCAGTTTTGAGTACTCTAGAGAAGGAAGTCAACAAGAAACCAAACTGCCTAGTCAATGCATCCTGTTAAAACAGCCCACTTTCAAAGTTCCTATGCGTAGATTAAATCTGAAAGATATTGGCTTTGGCTATTATGTACTTTGCATTGTGCTAGCATGATATATTGGATTCTCCTTCTACTACTTTAAAAATGGCGTGTATATATTGCACAGAGCTATGCAGAAACAAACCCAAAACCTCAGAAGGAACCACTATGGACAAAATATTTGCTTTAGGATAAAGAACTCATTGTGAATATCCTTAAAATATAAAAATAACACTCAGTTAAGGCAAGAGAAAAACATACCTGTGAAAAGCCGATCACCTCTCCATTTTCATCGAGCACGTTAAAATTAATGATTGGACCCTGGACATCAGGATTGCTGAAATCTGTATCACTGTAAATACGTACTACAGGAGCTCCATTGGCATATTTTAAGGTAGACAGCACAGTATAGGTGTAGTGAGATAAGGCAAAGGTATGCTGTTTTATTTTCTCCATTCCACCTACAAAAGAAAAGTGCATGTACATGTCAGATGCCTTATTTTTATGGAAATGTAAAAAAAGGATGATTTTTCAGAATGGTGTAGCTGGGAGGTAACTAGCACAGAATTGGTAGTTTTGGGTTCCTTTAAATGAATATACAATTTGCCAAAGTTTCTTACCTCATACAAAAGCTTCAGAAGTGTATCTACAATTAATCTACTGTAGAAATCTAAAAAGTTACACTGAAATAGATTCACATGCATTACAACATTGATAGTTCCAGCCTATACATATCACTAAGACGTTCTGGCACAATGAATTTGAAAAGCAAGTTTTGCTCCAGATCTGACTCTGGAGGTTATGGGAATGAGGCATCAACTCTAGTACAGCACAGAAAGCAAATTGCTATGTCCAAGATAAAATAAAAATAATAAAATTATAAATGAAATTACAAAATACAAGTGTTAGCCTACAAGGAATTTACTTGAATACCGAAGAAATATTCTTCCAAGCCTGCTCTTCTTTTTGCAGAAGAAAAAGAAAGAGGATGTTGTGAACGCCTCATTGACTATACCCATGCAATCTATTTGCTCCAGAGAAGCTTTGCAGAGAAGTTTACAGAGAACTTGGCCTGAAAAAAGCATAAAGAGGAAATATGTTGTCTGCCTTTGCTTTTTTTTTTTTTTTTTTTTGCACTACACTAGGGAGTTTGGAAAAGAGGACTGCAGAGATTTCCTGACAGATGGAGACCTCTTCTATATCTCTGCTTTCTGACAGGAGGTTGTGTCTCTGCTAGATGTCCTTATTGAAATGACTTTTCATTCTTGTGCTCAGAGGATATGCCATAGGATGATATACCATGGTCACCTATGGCTTTGGGGATATTTTAATTCTCTGCAGGAATCTAAAATAAGTGTCAGATACAAAACCACCCATTTCAGCCAAAGGAGAACATATGTAATCTGAAACAAAGAAGTAGTTTGTGATATTCTCTGGGATAAACTGCTGACAGGAGACAAGTAACTGGGTATGACCATAAATATGATATGAGAAAAGGAATAACCCTAACCCCAGCCCTAATCAAACAGTAATTTATCCCATGGAACAAGAAAAGAACAAGTAATCTTCAAAGTAGAAACTGAAAACCTATGAATTTGCATCTTTATGGAAGACAATTAGAAGATAACAATATGATCTCAAAGTACGGTAAGAAACACAGTGAGATACCTGAAGGATAACAACATGGTTAAACCAAGTCAAATCTCCACTGGAGACAGCTGGAATTTTGGCTGAAAATCCAAAGTGGATTCTATTATGCATACAATGCATTGCACTATGGTGGGCCCTCATCATATGGGAAAAAAAAGGAAAGAATAATTTCCTCAAAAGCGTCTGGAAGTAGAACAGTATTTTTCTGCCTTTAGAGTTTTAGACCCAGAGCATTTTCTGTAATGTTGAGTATCTTATTTGAGGTACATGAGCATTTCTGTAACTAAAAACGTTTGACATTTTCTTTTGCTTTCTTTTTTTAAACTGCGTAACTATGAATCTCACACTTCTGCACATACCATTTTTATATCTGAGTATCTGGAATCTTCTACAGTCTGATACAACCGCCCTTGGACAGAAATCTTGTAATCTGCTTGTTGACTTTTGTGCCTTTACTGTGTTATTTATGAATGCATATCAAGGAAAAAATTAAGATATCTTTCTCTTGACACACAGAAGAATTACAGAAACTTCTGTTATTTCACTTTTGTTCAAGTTTCTATATTATGTGCTATCTCCTTTAGATAAGCTAGGAAAGCAGACAGTAAAAGCATAGAAACACATTAGATATAAGGTGGAGGTGCATTTTTTGGTGCTAAAGAATAATAAAGAGAAATAAGATATTTAATGAGATACTAACACACAAAGCACTTTCAAGGAACATTGCCAGAAGCTAATCAGTACAATTTCTAGATGTTAGCCACAGTAAACTTGGCAAGCCTCTCTAGAACATTTTGGTCTGAAAGACAATTTGTATTTTCAGAATCTTTGAGAATAAAAGATTGCCTAGTCAGAGATGTCCTCATCATTGTTTGGTAGAAGTTAAGAGTCTTGGAAAAAAAAAAAAAAGTTATTTCTCAGCGTTTACCAGAAAGTAGCTGTCTTAAGAGAAGTGACTGCCTTGTCAGCTTCTGAGATGTCTGTAAACTCCTGATTCAGAGCTTTTCCAAATTGGCAGGAATCTTTTAATGGAAGATTAAACTACTGTCCTTGTGTCTTGTTGAAGAAATCTCTTATTCAGAAATTTCAGTCTCTCATTCACAGCAATCATCCTGCTATCATTTCTATATTGTCTTCAGCCATTCTCTTTTAAAGTTGCTTAATCACATTTCCTTGTTCATTAGTGAGAAGCTGATGAGCCTCTTAATTATTTATTCTGACAAATCCAAATGCAATAGCCTGCAGTTGCTTTGCTGCCCCGTGACTGGAGAGCGGAAGCAGTGTTGCCAGGGTCCCATGTTTTTAAGTAGGAGAATAGGTTGTGATTAGGTCTGATGTCACAGAAAACCCTGTGAAACAAATGCCAGCAATCTGAAGTTTGTTCTGACAGAAGAAGGGGTATATTCAAAAAAGACTTATGATTTATTTTTATTTTGCTAAACAAAATGATCTGTACTGTATCCTGCATAAATCCAGTGCTTACCTCACCTCCCTCTCCCTACTAGGGAAAAGAATATGAGGAAGAGAAAATAAAACCCAGAAGAAATCTTTGGTCTCTAACATGATCTAAGGATTTGCATTATTGCACCTAGTCTCATATTTGGGGTGACAAAAATAAAACTCATTGTTTGACTGAGCCTGTCTAAGGTAAATGAGAAGGTAATCTTCTATATTATGGTTGAATTGGTATTTATTACCTTATTGCATTCCTGCATTTTATCTTCTTTCTATACAGAACTCTGGTTTTATGCCCAGTTCCTTAACTCCAAACACTTGGAGACTCTTCCCTAGCTGCCTGTTTGGGGATAAAAGAAGTAGAACACCTTAAGCCTTTTGGAAGACGTACAGCTTGGAAAAATCATCAGTACTTAATCTTGAGAAGGTGCCGGGAAGGACTCAAGTGCCCTGACTCCTTCTCACTTTATGGATTTTATTCCTTATCACTGCATTTTTTCATTAAGGTGAATTGCATCTAGTTGCTCCTAAAAGTGATTTTAAAATTAAAAACAATTTATGTGCTCTGTAATTTGGATCAGAATGAATCTGTTGTAGCCTAAATTACACCAGTTGAAGTCTATCTAATACCATTCACTGTATTTATGTGTGTAGGAACACATTCAGCACAAAGGATGCTCTCGTTAATGACTGACTTCTTCCTGCAGTAGAAATGTAAGGACTTCCCTGTCAAAAGGGAAACTCCTCCATTTCTGTGGATTAATATGCCCCTTACTACTTTGTTCCCATGTGTGTATTTTGACTTATATTAAGCCAGACATGTTCATTCATTTAATTCTTCTTCCCAATAGCACCTCATTTTTCATACTATTTGTTGCCACAATGAATGCCATATATTTTTGCAGTGGCAAAGTTATTGAGCAGAAGAGATTGACAAAGAAAGCTTGTACTTTTGTGTACAAACCTCCTTGGCAAAGTACTCTAGTAAGCCTGTGGAGATGATGTTAAACATCATATTGCTGATGTATGTTTGTACACTACATCCTGACGGATCAGCACTATCTCAGACCTACCATCCCATCTTACACTTCCATTTGGGTACTGTTATGGAAACTGATACTGTTCCAGTATGGAAAATTCAGAGTGCCAGTGCACTGGATAACCCACGGATACATTTATAATGTCAGCTCTTCCATAGGAATTGCATGTGTGCATATGCCTATCCATAGAGACTGTGTGACAGTTCAATCATGTGGAAGAGAAGGGTAAGTTATCTCACATTTACAAGAGGGTTCAAACTATGTGCATTCAAACTATGCACAATTGCCACTACAGTACTGTAAATCCACCGCTTGTCTTGCCTGGTAATAACTTCTTTTATTTGTGTTACCTCTGCCTTATTATCTGCTTGTTATATGCAAAATACAGTAAGATTTTATATTTCCAGTGGAATTTTATCTAATCAGAGAAACATGAGATACACAGATGTCCAATAAGTATTCAGTACAGAATGCTTTTGAGTCAGTATAGACTTCATTTTGCTTTATGTGAATGGCAAACATGTAATAGCATACAATCTCCTCTCTGAAACAACCAGGATTTCAGTAGCTCAAATGTTCAAATGTTAGTTCTTCCTGAAAGAACTGCAGACAGATAGGTGTATGTCAACATCTATACAAGATTTTGAATAAAGAGATTAAGATAAAGCAGAGACTGAAATTGAGCCTCTAGAATGAAAGCTTTGGTGCTTAAAGTTTTCAGGCTGTACTCAGAAACCTCTGTGATCTGCATTCAAATATAGTTCTTATCTCTCTTATTATAAGAAATTAAATATTGGAGATAAGGGAGAGCCATAAATCAAACACACAGCTATTTTTCTAACTTGCTGTGAAAAAACCACAGAAATTGAAGTTTACATGAACCAATTCTCTGTTACTCCAGTAAATCCAAACTCACATATATCTTTGGATGAGAAAAAGATCAATGTGATTCATTATTCTTCAGCATTACCTAACTGATAGCAATGAGGCAGAGACATGATGAGCTGAAATCTCAGCAAACCAATCAGCAGGGAGTGAAACCAAGATGTAGCCACCTTCTAATAAATCCCAAACAAGACAGATCACCATGTGGGACCTGTGAGTCAATGTGCTAATGAAGCCACAGAACCTGTAAATCCTGTCAAACATTTGGAGTCCTTCCTTCACTTCCTCCAAGAAGCGTACATTAAGATTCATTTCTGGGCTTTTTTTTGGTGTTCTTTTATGCGTAGAACTGAATGTCTCTGACTGAAGTCTGTCACCTACTTAGTGTAATTCTCCCAAAGAACATCTCTTGAGGATGAACTTGGTAATGG